CATCCCTTAATGCATATAAGGAAAAGTTGGCAAAATTGGCGTTTTTCTATATAATTTTAAATTTTCTATTATAAATGTACCTTGCAGATCCTATAGTTAAAAATGTTATATAACGTGATCAGTGAACATGCATACCGACTGATAATTTTACATTATATATACATCACACTTTTAAGGCAATTTTATCATTTTTTGCATTTTTTCATATAATCTATTATATATTTACCATTTAAAGAATAAATATTTAATTGATCATCATGATTATCTATATTATTTTTTTCAAAATAATTTCAGCATCTAAAAGATTATCAAAAAATGCTCAATTTAAAATTCATTTTCATTTAAAAAATAAAAAATATATTATAAATTTTGTAATTATGTAGTTAATTATAAGCGTAAGTCTGTTATCAAAGCTTATATAAACTCACTAACTCATTTAAAAAAGAAAAGAAAAGTTATTAAGAGTGCTAAAGCTTTACAAACAACTATTTCAAATATTTATTAAATTAGATCAAAAAAATAAGAAATAAATTTACATCTTATTAAAGCATTTACTAAAGCTGATATTCTACTTGAAAAGATTGATAAACTTAAATCTTTTTTTTTATAAAATATTATAATAATAGTAAGATTTTTCATCTATATTTTATATTAGTAATTTTTTTATTTTAAATATTTATATTTATATTAACATTAATAATTAAAAATTAAAGATAAAGCTGTTAATGCAAATTATTTATGTAAAAGATATCTTTTAGCTGTTTTTGAATCAGCAAAAAATATATTAATGAATAAATTAGCTAATCAAAGATTTCTGTAACTATGGATGAAATAACAGATAGTTGTGAAAGAAGTGTTCTTAACGTATTATTTAGTTATTAAAATAAAATTATATTAATAAATACCTTTTTTTAGAAACTGTTAATAATACAACAATGTATAAGCTTTTTTTAATAATATTTATTCTTATAATATTCCTTTTATAATTTAATATTTTTTATTAGTGATAATGTATCATATATGAATAAAGTTTTACCAATATCTTATTTCTATTAATATCAAACTTGTTTCATAACACATGTTTTGTTTATACTTATAATCTTATTAATGAAACTTAGTCGAATTTTAAATACTTTAAATTATTAGATATTGTAGTTAAACATATTAAAACATTATTTGTACTTAGCAGCAAAAAAAAGAAGATGGAAAGAACATTTGATTTCAAAATCTGTTCTTTTAATACAAATGAAAATTTATTTGATGAAGAAAGCACACAAGATTTATTTATTAATTTACCTCCTTTACTTATTAAAACTAAATGTAATTCTTAGTTTAAATTTTTAATTTAGATGAAAAATTATTATTAACATATGGTTACATTTTTTATTGAAGAATATACAGAAAAAAATTCTAATGTTATTAAAGAATTAAAAAGATTTTTCAAAATCAAAGTCAAAGTTTTTATATAGATATTTTAATCATTTAATGCACAAAGGTAAATATTAAAAATATTTTTTATTATTTTATTATTACTAAAATATAAAAATTTAATATTTTTTAGATTAATATTGGATCTTGAATTTTTTAAAATAAGAAATTTGGTTATTGCTCCTTTTATTTTTTTTTAAGAATAGAACAAATAAGAGCATTTTTGCGAAATGGAATAAATAATCCACCAATTAGTGTAGAAATGATACAACTATTATCTCAGAATTATTAAAATTATGAATACCTTATGTCAATTTTTTCTGAAGCTTTTAAATTAGCATTGAAAAACTTTGAAAAACATATAGATACTCATTCTGCTTTACTATTATTCAATGCAATTCAATGTTTTAACCCTCAATTTATTTCAATCATCTCAAAATAGACATATTTTAACTAATTATAATTTGTCACCGTCGTCACCATTTAGGCGTGTAAGTCCGGTCATCTCTTTTGACATTTTATGTTATCAATTTGGCTGGCGAAAAAAAATTCAGAAATTAAGTAAGATCAAATTATTTTTTTCTTATATTAGTTACGAAATTATTTTTTTTTTTTAAAATTAAAAAAATAAAATAAAAGGAAAGAAATCAGAGAATCTTTTAAATGAAAATTTTGGGATTTAATATTTTGGGAATTTTTTTTTTCACTGGAAAAATTCGGAAGAAAAAAAATTTTTTTTTTCACGAAAATCGAATTCTATAAAATTCAGGTGATTTTTTTTTTTCATTTTCGTTTATTCGTAAAGTTTCAGAAAAGAAAAGTTCTTTCATTCTTTTATTTTTCACGTATGGAAATTTGGAAGGAAAAAAATTTTTTTTTATTTGTGAGATCGATAAGATAATTTTTTTTTCGGAAAAAAAAGAAATTCAATTTACGAAAAAAAAAAAACTATTAATCTTTTGGAAGAAATATGAATTTATACATTTACATAAGGAAATCGGTAAATTTAAGGTTAAAATGCATATAATATTACATTATATAGTTTGTTACAATTAAGGAGATTATGTATCACAATCTATTTCGCAAGAAAAATTTATAAATAAAACGTAGGATTTCGAGTAGGAATCAGTCATAATCTTAAATTCGTGAACAATTCCCTGCCAAATAAATCATAACCAAAAAAGATAATCCTTAACTGGTACTTCTTGAATTAAAAATAAAATAATATAATATAAAAAAAATTCTGTATTACCAAAATACAGGTTGTTGAATAATAAATTAGGATTTATCATTTTTTTCTTCCTTAAATTGATCTCCCTTGTGAAGATCGAGAGGTACTGACATCTCTTAATTTATGCAAAAATTAAAGTTTGTCATTCATTCGCTAATCTATGCTTGATGACGTTATCACCGTTTTAAATTCCGATAATAATGTATCGGTATTAATTCCCACGAGAAATTATTAAATATTTTATCACGAAATCAGTAAATAATAATATTTAATATACACAATGGAAATTCTCAAAAATAATTTCCATGAATGCTTTCCCTTGATTCAAGAAGCTATTGAAGGAGCCGATTTTATAGCAATTGACACAGAGTTGACTGGTGCGCAAGAAATTAAGTGCTTGCAATTTTTTCTTTGGGCTTTAACTTGCTAATCGCGTATTCTTCTGTTAAATAGGCTTGAGCGAACGCATTGAAAGAATAAAGTCCTTTGATGATCCGCAGTTAAGATATACCAAAGTTCGAACTGCCGCGACAAAAGTATGTATTATACTCATTTCGATACTATCTATGTATGCTATTGAAAGTAAATAATATTTGTAAAATTTTTTTTTTTTTTTAGTTTCTTACCATTCAATTCGGGATATGTACTTTTACATATTCGGAAACGGAGGATACATTTATAGCGAGACCATTTAACTTTTATATATTTCCTGCAAATTCCGATAGGAGGGATTATCATGATACCTGTTTTATGTGTAGTGGGTCAAGTCTACATTTTTTATCAAAATGTGGATTTGATTTCAATAAATTAATTGCACAAGGTATGCTGATGACATATTGATTATTATTATTTATTACTTTGTGAGCCGATTAATAATCTTTTACTTACATCCCGTAATGTAAAGGAATACCATTTCTTAATAAAACAGATGAGGAAAAACTCACACAGAGAAGAGCCGACATCGCTCAAAGGCAGCTTGGTAATTTAAAGTTTTAGAATTTAATTGATTCTCCGTTTCTGATAATCTATTTGATTTTCATAGACAATCCGCCAGATGATGATACTAAAGCTTTCGTTGATAAAATTATGTAAGTCAATCGATCTTTTGAAATTCTGTTAAATTTATCCAACCTAATATCTTTCACTGGAATCTTATTATGTATAACATTTCTTTGTTTTTAATCCGGAAAATCGAATTTTAAGGACATCTATCAACACATGGCTTTACGAAACAGACAAAGAACAATTAACGGTGGAGACTTTTACCATGAGACAGAAGCGGTTGATCTTTCAGGAATATAGGCAAAGGTGGCATATATTATCTTTATATATCTTTATTCTAAGCATTTGATTTCATCTATTAATTTGATTATCGTTTATAGGTTCAAAGATGTTGCGTCGGCAGAGAGCAAAACGAAAAGTATCTTATTCTCACGAATGACGAAGGAACAAAAAGAAAAGAAATCAATAGATGATGCTGCCGAAGTATGTTCTACTTTTTGAGTTTTCACATAGATTTTTTATAAAGCTGCTAATTTAATATCATTTATTTATCAAGGCTCTATCTGCTAGCTTAAATTTCCGTAGTATTATTGAACTATTAATAAATTCCAAAAAACCTATTGTCGGTCATAATTGCTTGTTAGATATATGTCAATTGATACATCAATTCTGGGAAGATCTACCAGAAAAATTAAAAGAATGGAAAAATCTCGTACATGATTTGTTTGAAATGTGAGTTGAGAAAGATCTTTAGATATCATAATTATAATATCTGAAATTTATTTTAAGTGTTGATATTTGAATGGAATTTGCCTTTCAAATATAGCGTTATTGATACCAAACATTTGGCAGCAAGCCATCGAAAGCTGCAGGTATTTCACTCATAAGTTGATATTATTTCTAGCAGACCATCAATATTTAATATATGTAATGTTATAAATCAGGAATTGTTACCAAAAAATGGAGTTCAGGATATTTTACAAACTGTTCAGGCACCACCCTTTGACGAAGCGCCGAAAGTTGGTAAATATTAAATTTTTTCTTAACTTACTTAATAATAACTTTCCTCCTTTTTTTGCAGGTATTTTATAACTTTATTGTGATAATTTATAGTCCTGGACCCAAGATTCAAGCTTTACACTTTTAATGATGAATCACAAAATCACGAGGCCGGTTATGATGCTTACGTTACCGGATACAACTTTATAAGATTAGCAGTATACATTTTAAATGTAAAAGGTAAGCGTATAAAATTCTATTAAATCTAAATTTTCTCTAATTAATACATATTATTTTAAAAGTGGAAAATATAGATTATTACGCTAATTTTTATGAAGCTTTGATGGAAAGCTCTGATGTTCCAATGGAACAGGAACGGGAAGATGTGGATAAAGACACGCATTTGGTCACAGAGCTATTTAAGAACGAGAAAGTAACCCGTTTTTATAATAAATTACATTTGTTAAGATCTGATTTCAAATATTTATGTCTTGATGGTGAAGATGGAAGTAAGTATTTGAGAAAATTTTTTTCTCTATACAAAATAGGTTTCTAACATTTTTAAATGTAGATCCACCTGCTAGACCAAATGGATTTTTATTATCAAATATTCCCACTTCTTGTTCACAACAGATTCTTTATACTATATTTGGTGAGTTTGGTAATATATTCTTTCAATGGGTTGATGATACCCATTGTTGGCTAACAGTGAAAGACGACAAGAAAGCCAGCAAAGTCCCTGAGGGATTATTACGTAAAACAAAGTTATTTTCATCATATATGGTAGGTGGGAAAAGGCATCAAGTAGCTCAAGAAAAGAACATAACGCAAGAAATTGGTGATATCAACATCCAATCTTGGAATGATTGGATAAATGCAATACTGGATGCTAATTTAGAGGATAACAAAGATCCTGAGGAACAAAGCCCAGTTGATGACGAATCGATAGTTAACGGTGAGTTTATGTATATATATCGTTTGTTAATTTGAATCATCAGTTTCTTCATGTTGCTAATCGTGTGTTACTTTAGGTATAAATGGTAACATAATTGAAGATATAGAATTTGAATTTAAAAACAAATACGAAATGCCTAGAGACTATAGCAATGGTTGGGAATTAAATTCTGGTAAAATTGAAGATATGGAGAACACACAGGGTAATCAGGGTGATTGGAGCATTTCCCCAGTAAATGATTCGGATATATTAACTTTAAGTACTAAGCGTACTTTGTCGCCACAAATTTCAGCAAATGACGATTGTAGCGATGATACTAGTACTAGTAGTACGGCCAAGAAGACCAAACTTGGGTAAGGTTATCGTAAAGACAACCTTTTTTTTTTTTAAAAAAAAAAAAAATAAATATATATATAAATATATTTCAAAAAAAAAAATTAATTTCTCCAATATTTTCTAATACCTTGTCTTTATCCAATTTTCTTAAATCACTTTGAAACATTAATTTTTCCATTCCAATTCCATTCTTTTCTAAATGATATACTTAACCATACATGTTTATAATGAATATCAAACATTTTGTGAATTTTAAATACTCATGATATATAGAGCCTTTGGATTTCTACGTTCCTTTTTCTCTTCCTGAACGATTAAAATCAAATCTCTTAAGATCATCTTTACTAGAAAAGGTGTGAGAGTTTATTTCATTTAAGTATATGTAAAAATGCATAGAATTGCAATTTTTTTAAAAATAGTTAAAACCATAAAAATTTTCATCTTTTAGCATTAATTTCATTCAAATTTTTTGTTAACATTTATTGATTATTTCATGTAAACTTTAAAGTAAAATAATGAAAAAGTTTGATTATAAGTAATAAAAGCTGTTGAAAATTTAAAAGGTATAAAAAAAATAATCTCAAATATTTCACTTTAAAAAATACATTAAATTTCTTTATACATAAATTTTAAAAAACAAAATATGTATAATAATTTCAGTATAGCATTAATTATTATATAATATGGGACATATTGCAGATAAAGTGAACATTGGTATTACCAAGGATTTCAGAGATCAATAATGTTTGTTTAATATCACAAATTGTATTATTGATGTAATTCATCTAGACAAAAATAGTTAATATAAAACTCATTTATATCAGATATACTATAAATCCAAAATTTACAGCACCATTAGAAGTATTTTGAAAAGGAACAAGATAAAAAAATTGCTCCTTATATTTTCAAAATAAATGATACTCAGACACTGGAAGCTTATCTAAGAAAAGAAAAGATTATCTATGAAATTTACCAAGAAAGAAAAATAATAAATGTTGGAAAAAGAAAGCATCATTGTAAACAATTTCGGTTTATTAAGCAACACTTTATGAAATTAGGCTGGTTTGAATTCTTGATCCTGTATAGGTTTTTCTGATTTTCTTTTTGTGCAGCATATATACTTACACTTGATTTGTTCACTTCATTATTTAAACATTTTCAAGGTATTATCTTATCATTAGAATTATTAACATTTGTTAAATTCTGCTAGATCACAACGCATATAATATGTCAGTCATACCTATATAGCAATTAATTACAGCATTTGAACTGAATAAACTCATCTTTTTTTGTATTAGCCTTTTTATCATTCACATCTCGACAACATTTTCCTAATATTATGTGATTGTCATTGTATGTAATACCACTCCCAGTTGCAAGTTGATTTATTTGCTTTACCTGCAGATACCCAATCTTGATATATTCACAATCTTGTTTCAAGTTCTTTACCGGTACTGTCCATTCCTTAGTGAAACAAAATACAAGGATTAGAAAAATGAAATATTACATAATGACAAATCAACAATATAAACAAAGAAATGTTAGATTAAAAGATCATCCTTGTAAGATAAGCAGTCCCAGCTTGCACTAAATGTCAAACGAATAGTTTATTACTAGAGACGAGCAGTCCTAACTTGCACTTAGCGTTGAATGAGCAGTTCATAACTGATCAGATCTATCTCTTAATCCATTCAAATTCTATTCCTATTAAATGAATATACCTTCCATTCATTGAGGATTTCTCAAGCTTTTCCTTTTTTTACTGTATCAAATAAATTAGAATCTTCTACTTCTTAGAGATCTTTTTTAATGCAGTCCAAAAATTGCTTCCTATTTTTATAAATTCGCGCATTGCCTAGTAAAATTCATGACGCATTTGTAACACATAAAAGTTATTTTTTTTATATATACATCTGTAGCTAATCAGATTGCTTATTTTCTGATATAAATATATGCATATGGGCTAATTTGACTCCATTCGATTTTATCACTTTAGTGATTAGGATTATATCCATTATATGTATCAAAATTT